ACTTCCAAAATTTCAGCTGGAGGTAAACTGATTCTTCCGAGATTTTCGGCAATATTCTTTGCAACATTCTTTGTCATGAGGAACGCGAAACTCCCATTTATTGCGATCTTCTCCTGGGTGAAACAGATGGATTTTCTTCCAGGCTTCGCTCCAATTCTCGTTGATTTTCAACAGTTCTTGCCGTACAAGGCCTTCCAGTTCTTTGGAGATCACAAACTACACCCTGCTTCTGAAAACGGATAACTATTCCGCGAATCGTGTTTTTGCTCGGGACTTCCCTAGTATTGAAATGTCGACGGTAAGAAAGCTGCGTTTCCGAAATTGACCCATGGGACTCAAAGTACCACTGTACAATGAGGGTTCATTCCTCGATGCTATATCTGCTCATGGTGACGTCGGAAGGGTCGTTCTAAAGGCTCTGAAAAAATAAAAGAAAAATATTCAGAAATAAAATAGTTATGAACTTTTTTCATGGGTCAGTAACTTTTGGGCCACCCTGTAGTTGTGATAAATTTCATGTGGAGTTTAGATAAATTCTATTCGATTGTATTTGTGATAGACATTTTAGAAAACAGCCCACAGAACGCATTAGTATTTCAACGTAACAAGACTGACCACAATTTTGACGCAAAAAAATTTACTCTAATTAAAAGAGAAAATAATTCACTAAGGCGAAATCGTTTAGGAAGTGCTTTAATCGCTCGTCCATGCAGAATAAATTTGCGTCCAGGTTCTTATAACATTTCACAATTCTTGGCAGATCTTATAAATACCGGGTGTAACAGCAAAATTGTCCACATCGTGTAACAGCGTGGGATAATTGTCCATCCTACAAAATGTTTACTATCTAAAAAATACACGATACTAATTGACTTTCTTTTTTCTAGGCTTTCAGATAAGACGTTTAGCCATGAATTATTGTAAGAATCATTGGACAACTCTTTGAGTTATTCAGTTAGAAAGAGTACAGGTTAAAATTGTTTTGTGTCTACCCCATTATGTCTTTCCGATTGAGCAATGGTGAGAGGAAAAAGATCATTCTGACCTTCAGTAATGATACCAACATTCATACTCTGGCTTCCATCTTCAAAGTTCATTCAAGAACCATCAAAAGCACGGTCAATAAGTTAAAAAAGAGAGTCGAGAGGAAAATTGGATCAGGAGGTCAGAACAGCAAGAGGGATCCTCGTTTAAACTTAGAGCTAAATGCATTCTTATAGTTCAAAGTAGAGTATAATAATGTTATAAAAATCTAGGAGATTTCCAGTAAGATATGTTTAATCATTTCTAAGATACAATGGTTCAAATCTTAATCTAACAATTGGACAATTTTTCTGTTACACTCGGCGTATATAGAAAAGAAAGGGAATAAAGACAGAGAATGATGACTCCGGAGCTCGGATGCGAGCGGGTACCGAACCCGACGACCGTAGGTCTAGCAGGTAAAGGGCGTTTATTTGCAATTGACAATCAATATTTGTCCGTATTTCAACACTATCGGAACATCTCAAGAAAGTTGAAGAAACTCGATAAATGGCTACCGTATGAACTCCGTGAAATTCAAAGAGTTCGACGTTTTGATCTGCGTTTGATGCTGCATCTGAGAAATGATCCACAGTTCTTAATTGAATCGTGATGAGAAATCGACTCAAGGACTTCATAACAACGAAAGAGCCAAACCTTTTCCAAAAGCGAAATTCCACTAAGAGAAATTCCACCAACGTTGGCGTTATCCATTCTGAAATCTAACGCCAGAGCATCACTGCCAAAGTTTACTGCCAGCAACAACAGTATGAAGTGCACATTCAGTTAAGCCAAAACCAGAACTGGTTAATCGGCGAGGTTCAATTCTGCTTCTTGGCAGTGATTGTGCACATGTTGCTAAGATAACATTAGAGAAGCTTACCGACTTGGGATATTAGACTTCGCCTCATCCACAATATTGCTCTGATCCCTCGTCCATTGATTACCATTAATTATCACTTTTTCAAACATCTTTTTAATATTTTCAAACATCTTTTTAATATTTCAAAACATCTTTATAATATTTTCAAACATCTTTTTAATATTTTCAAACATCTTTATAATATTTTCAAACATCTTTTTAATATTTCAAAACATCTTTATAATACTTTCAAACATCTTTTTAATATTTTCAAACATCTTTATAATATTTTCAAACATCTTTTTAATATTTTTAAACATCTTTATAATATTTTTAAGCCAAAAATATTCCGTTACCTAGAAGATGCAGAAACTACATTCAAAGATTTCTATATTTATATGTTCTGTGCAGTCATATAGCCTGACGTGCTATACTATATAGCTACAGAGGAAGGGTCTGGTTAGAAAGATCGAATTACTGTTTTTAAAGTACAAATTCTCATGATTTCTCTCGAACGATCATATCTGCTCGAAGCGGTCTTATCTGTTTCATAATAATATGACGTCATTTGCTTACATTAAGATACGCTTAAAAATGTATTGGTGGTATTTTTTACTATGAAAATTATTGCTAGCACTTTCACTATATAAATGTATTTCTAGACATTCAAAATGTTTTGACTCCAGATTGGGTGTTAACTATTTGCCTATATCTGGGACCCTAACAGGTGCTACCACCGCGAAACAGAGTGGACATGGGAACAACAGCAAATAAGTAGTGATTCGACGTTCCCCAAAGCTAACCGATCCGAGGCCTTGCTGCCGGACATAGTTTATCGTCGGTTTGCCCTATTTTAAAAGTATTTTAGATACGTTCAACAATTAAAAATTACAATCCATTACGAAATTATTCATTTTTTATTAATTTACGGTGAACTTTTTTCGCGGTGAACTTTACCTCGCAGTGATTTGATGGCGGTGAACTTTCCTATGACGAATTTACCGGACACAGACACACACACACAACACACGCACACACACACAAAAATATCATCATCATCATTATCATAATCGTCATTGTCATCATCGTCATCATCATCATTGTCATCATCATCGTCATCATCATCATCATCGTCGTCATCATCATCATTATCATCATCATCGTCATCATCGTCATCGTCATCATCGTCATCGTCATCATCATTATCATCATCATTGTCATCATCATCATCGTCGACATCATCATCATCGTCATCATCATAATCATCATTATCATCATCGTCATCATCATTATCATCATCATCGTCATTGTCATAATTATCATTATCATCATCATCGTCATCATTATCATCATCGTCATGTGACGTCGTCCCCTGGTCGCAGCGTCAACTGTGACGTTCTATTCTGGTCTACCACGGCACCAACTGTGACGTCCCTAAACAGCACCAATTGTGATGTCCTCGCCGCGGCGCCAGCCGTTCGCTCCTCGCTGCTCCGTTCGGGTGTCGCTGCTCCAAACGTGACGTCCGCCTGTCGCGTCAGTCGTGTTGTCTCGTCCTGTGACGACCAACTGGCTTGGTATCGGTCGCGGCACCCAAATGTGACGTTCTAACCTTTTGGTGATTCGGGTGGGAATCTGGTTAGATTTGATATCAGCCTCGTCGTTCCCAACTCGCTTCAAACGCCTGGTTACCAAGGTAACTGCATAGATCTCCAGTCTGCCTACCCACGCTGTGAATTGATCTTATTCAGACGAGATCAAACAGTGGTTGGGGCCGTAATGCAAACCGAGTTCAACGGGGTGATACCACACAAATATGCATAAAAGAAAAGAAAAAAAAAAGTTCAAATCAAAGTCATCATTATGTCTCGTCGTCATCTCCCGACCCGTTCTATGGATTGTGACATCGTTTTCCGTTAGGCGATTTTTAACATTGTTTGCTCTCTAAGAAATTGGTTTTTCGGTGTGTCTTCGGATCGTTATTGTGGTGGTCTGGATCTATCAAAATAATTGTTATTGTTGAAGAGGTTTTGCGTGAATCTTGGTCAGCTATCTGCGAGGCGACTTCAACTGGAGACTGACTGTAATTCCTGGAACTCTGTTTTCAACTGATTTCTCATTTTCAACGTCTGCTCGTTTAATTCACCTCTCTGGTTAGAATTTCCACTCTTTTCATTTTTGCCCACCTTCTCACCATACTTCAGAGGGGCGTAACTTCCCCAGTCCCTCATTTGGATGCTTTCGTTCAAAACACCAATGATGTCTTAGTCGGGCGTGGAAATCCATGGCTTTGTTTCAGGAAGAAAAAAATATCTTGCTTAACTAAAAAAATTATCCCTTCTTTTCCTTTTCTTCCTCTTAATCGCCGTTATCATTTCTCTAGCTGAACGGGACAATATGAACAATGACGGTCATTCTTGTTCCTCAATTATTTTATCCCAATTAGACTGGTTTTCCAAACAACGTCGCTAAAAGACATTTCTATCTTGCTTAACTAAAAAATTTATCCCTTCTTTTCCTTTTCTTCCTCTTAATCGCTATTTTTCTCTAACCCAATATGAACAATGTTTGTTCTACATTCTTTTCGTCAGGTAGAATTATCAGAATGTCCTTCTTCTTAACACGGCCAACGTCGCCCTGAAAAGACATTCAAATATTCATTTCCTTTCAGTTCATAGGGATATTGTTCCGTCAAAAAAAATCGGTCAGCGGACACATCTTGTGTGGCTTTTATTTTCAAATCTGTCCAAACCTTTTAGTAGACCTCAACCGGCATTCCGTTATCATCTTTGATTCTTTCACTTGTTTCTTTTTATTTTCCCTGTCATTGTGTTTTCGATTTGTTACTTATGTATATCCATTGACCGCCTGCTTATCCGTCTCGCCTTTCTTTCATCTCGTTAAATGGTGCCTCCGTCTTTGTCATCATTATCATCATCGTCATCATCATCATCGTCATCGTCATCATCATCGTCATCATCATCGTCGTCACATCGATCATCATCATCGTTATCATCGTCATATGGGACAATATTTCGTCATCGTCATCATCGTCATCATCATCGATCATCGTCGTCATCAAAAAAAATGAAAATTTTCAACGTCTGCAACAAGAATGCCCATCTATTCAGAAAAACACACAGAGCCAAACTTTAATCTCAGATCAGTCCAGCGCACGGCTGAATTTCTATCAAAGTGGGGAGTTACAGATTCATACTCCTCTCAAGGGTTTAGCGAAACAACGACCTCAACCGTTTCCTCCACTTGTGGAAATGTTCGACCTGAGACCCTTCCAATACAATGACTCACAAGCGGAATATGGGACAATTTTACATGAGAACAAAAAAAATGAAAACAACGAAGTGATTTTCAGAGTTAATGAATATCAAAGGTTTCAGTTGAAACAGTTTTCGACTGAGCTCAATCAATTAATCTGGTTTCGAGCTCCAATTATTATTTTTTTTGTGAACTAAGGACTGAATTTATTATCGGTGTCGAGAGTCAAGTAATGCCTTTGACCTGAGCGATTCAAGGTGCACCAGACTAGTATCTACCGAAGTCTTTTCATATCTATCTATCTATCTATCTATCTATCTATCTATCTGTGTTAGTTCGTTCATATCTATGTAAATCTGTTCATTATTCTATCTATCTATCTAGCTAGCTAGCTATCTATCTCATTCTATTCATATATATCACATTCTATTCATATCTATCTGTATATATATATATATATATCTATCTCATTCTATTCATATCTATCTATCTCTCTATATATATATGTGTGTGTGTGTGTTAGTTCGTTCATATCTATGTAAATCTCTTCATTATTTTGATATCTATCTATCTATCTCATTCTATTCATATCTATCTCCTATTCGTATATATCTACCTATCTATCTCATTCAGCTTTTTTTCTATCTATCTATCTATCTATCTATCTATCTATCTATCTATCTATCTATCTCATTCTATTCATATCTACCTCATTCTGTTCCTATCTATCTATCTATCTATCTATCTATCTATCTATCTATCTGCGTTCGTTCATATCTATGTAAATCTGTTCATTATTACGATATCTATCTATCTATCTATCTATCTATCTATCTATCTATCTGTGTTAGTTCGTTCATATCTATGTAAATCTGTTCATTAATATGATATCTATCTATCTATCTATCTATCTATCTATCTATCTATCTATCTATCTATGTTAGTTCGTTCATATCTATGTATATCAGTTCATTATTATGATATCTATCTATCTATCTATCTATCTATCTATCTATCTATCTATCTATCCGATTTTTTCCTACCAATATAAGCTAAACAGGAACGGACTGTGCTTAACAAGCAGGTATTAAGTAAATGAATATATTCTACCCGTAAATAGAAACTGATTCTTATGTGTCTGTATGTGTTATTAATATAAACTGTATGCATACACGTGTATGAGTAAATTTTATTTTTTTTGTAAAGAGTCTTTTAAAGAAAATGTGACAATTGACTGCAATCGAACCTGCGTTCTCCTTATATTAGGAAAAAAAAAATACAGATTGAATGACGATTCGATTCCTGCTGGAAGACACAGTCTATTTCTTAAGACTTTCGATTTCCCAGAACTGCAGATATCATTCATACTATTTAAATATATAAATAAATAAATTAAGAAAAAAACAGAGTTATGTCAAAAAGAAAATATATCTTTATAAGATCAAGGAGAAAATGTTCGAATTAAGAAGAAATTTGAGATTTTACAGAATAACGAATCTAAGAGAAAATCAGAAGGACCAACTGGCAATGGTTTTTGCGTCTTATCTTTCCTACTTACTTAATTAAGAACCAGTAAAGATAAAAACGGAAAACAAACTAAAATAGAAATATCAGTCGGAAGTAATGAAAATCAAAGCAAGAACAGAAACAAAAGTAGAGAATTATAGTCTTAATTACGAATCTTTGGAAATAAAAAATACGATAAACTGACACTGGCAGGTATTAGTAATGTTCCTAAGATAACAATGGACAAAATAAGGTTTCGTTTTCAAAATGCTGAAAATTTCCACGCAAATATGGCATAGTAACAGACCTTTTTGAAAATGCAGCAGAATAATTCAACAAATGATTAACAAAAAAATTTAGCCTAGAAATCCTAAAACTATTTTAGTATATTTTTAGAAATCTTATGTAGCAAGGGTGGCCAAACTTGCTTAATGCAAGAGGCACATACGACAAAGTTCAGATGTTTGAGAACCTAAGATATAAACAAAATTTACACATACGTTTTTGCACCTAAAACTTTAATCAACCTCACTTAAGACTTAAGTCTTCTGACATTCCTGTGTAATTCTTGCTGACCGGAAATTTCTGAAATAACATTGATAAAATAAATTCATTTAAAACAACCGAAATTTTCTTCGAATTTTTATTAAAAATTGTCTGCCAGCTTTGAGCATTTTTTCAAATAATAATTTTGTAAAAGAAAAAGAAAAAAATTAGAATACTAGCAATATTATTCTGTTCAAATCTATCTAGCTAGCTAGCTATCTCAGGCTATAACTATCTATCTATCTAAGCCTATCTATCTATCTATCTATCTATCTATCTATCTATCTATCTATTTCAGCCTATTTTATCTATCTATCTATCTCTCTCTCTCTCTCTCTCTCTCTATATATATATATATATATATATATATATATATATATATCAGCCTATTTATATCTATCTCACCCTATTTATATCTATCTATTGTCTTGATCAACCAATTAAATCTCCGATCTACGCTAAATAGAAAATTAAGCTCAGTGGGTAGAGGTTGGGAAGTTACTTTTTATGACATGATAAACCGGAAGTTAGACAGGTCATCATTGATATTTACAGGAAACATGTAAAAAAGAAATGTATTGTGATTGTAGACAAATATTACAAGTTCAATTTTTGAAAGAACGTCTAAGGGGAGGGAAGAAGGATAATCAGAAAAAAGTTAATTTAAATAGATTTTTTTAAAAAAAATTTTCAGTTTCAATAAGCTTCTTAAAAGAATCTGTAGGTAAAATTAAAAATGTGGGGCGTCTATATATAATACTAACTAGACAGCAATACATAGCAATACTAAATCTGAAGAAACAAAATAAGAGTGTGGACTATTATTTATTTATAAATTATGGCCATAAAAATGAAATTACCTAAATTTTTAAAAAAATTAACCATATTGTAAGGTAAAAGATAAACTGTGTCGGCAATTTATAGTTAATTCACTTCTTTGGTTTAGAGATTTTATGTCGGCAAACCGGATAATTTCTAATTTTTCATGTAAGCATAAGAAACAAGGATCATTTAAAGACCTACAGGTTCTAGCGTTTTTAGTGTTTTCCATTTTACCGTAGGCTTTTTTAAAACTTAAGTTCCAAAAATATTTAGAAAAGGATGCCATACTTTTGTAACTAGGTGGTATCAACATGTATTATCTTTCACTAATACATGTTGATACCACCTAGTTTTAAAAGAATTCTTGGGACTTCCAATATAATTTTTTTAACTGTTGGATATTCAATAGTAGAAATAGCGCTTAGGTAAACAAGAGAGTCAGTTTGACATCGGTTTTGCAACGGGTATTCGCTAGAATTTCTACAATTACACTTGTTGGTATTATCAGTGTTTGTTGCTTTGGAATGTCTATTATTACTCAGATTTTTGTATTGGTTCAAGATTTTATTATTATGTTTTTAAATATTTTTTAAAAATATTATCTGTACAGCTATAGCTTAGTTTTAGTGTATTTCTGTTAAAAATTTTACTGATTGGATTATTTTTCGGAAAGTGTTCCTTAATTAAATGGTTGCATTAATATTTTTTTATTTGAATATATATATATATATTAGAAACTGTCCAAATCTATATATCTATCGCAGTGTGTTCCTATTTCTCTACCTATCTTTCTAATTTATTTTCTATTTCTACATGAATCACTTAATCCTGAGTAGTTAGTCTCTCTCTCTCTCTCTCTCTCTCTATATATATATATATATATATATATATATATATATATAGGTATCCATCAGCCTTTCTTTCTTTCTTTCTTTCTTTTTAAAATCAACAAGGACGCCTGTCGCAGAGCTATAGCTATCCGTGTCTGTATATTTAAATTGTTTTGGCATTTATTTTACTTTTATCAGCCTACACAGCAACTTTATGTCATGGTTCTCTGAGTAAATGGCGTTCACTTGACTCTACTCATCTCTTTTCATCTCCCGGGTAATATTTCAACAGGTTGCACACGGATAAATGATACGCAGAGTTTTCCTTAACCTGACCTTTTGGGATTTGTTTCCTGTTTTCCACGTGAGCGTTGGCGCGAAGTGTACACAACCAACTAAGCTGGTCCTCTCTCGAACTACACACACACACACACACACACACACACACACACACACACACAGAGGGTGCGATGGGTAAATTGTCGTCTGAATTAGGCAAAAATGAAAATAACACTGACATTTCATTTAAACAAATGCATTTACAAAAATAAAATTTTGTAAAAAATATAGTTTTACAATATACTATATTTTTCAATGGCCTGAAGATCGCCTACAAGCATGTAACAGACTGTCGCCTCTCAGTCTTGCCCGCAGTGTCCACTTTTATATTTACATATGCTCTATGCCTGAGATTCATCCATTCAGCCCATAAACACAGCATACTTAAAAACTATTTTATCATATATATATATATATATATATATATATATATATATATATATATATATATATATATATATCACTGCCATAAACAGACAAAAATTAATTTTATTATTACCACTCATGAGGATAATAAAAAAGTGAAACTGAAAAACGAACTAGCTAACCGGTTTCGAACCTCGCTCAACAGAGCTAAATCGAGGTTAATAAAGTAAATTATTTAAAAAAAGAAAAAAGGACAAAGTGTATTGGGGAAAAAAATTAGATGGTAATTAGTTGGAGGCCTAATACAAAGTCCTTCTGTTTACATAGAGAAGGCTTCAACGATAGAATATGAATGGCCTCCAACAACATTAGGTGGTAATTAGAGTGGGACCTGCTAAGGATGGTAAAAGAGACCACACTAAAACTAACAGCACAATTATGGCTATTTATTAGGTGTTCTGCGATGGAAGACCAGTATGTATTGGTCAAAATGTCCGAGGGAGTGTATATAAATATATATATATATATATATATATATATATATATATATATATATATATATTTGTGTGTGTGTGTGTGTGTGTGTGTGTGTGTAAAAAAGAGCATAAAGTTTAATATATATTTAAAAATCCACATTGAAACCCAAAACGTTTCCGGCTTCTCTTTAACATATATTTTCTCTCTCTCTCTCTCTCTCTCTCTCTCTATATATATATATATATATATATATATATATATATATATATATATATATATATATGCTGAGCACCTAAAGCATGCCGAATCAAAAGGTTCTTGCTCCTGCAAGCAGGGAAGCCGGTTTGAATCTCGTTATTAAAAATTTCGAAGTCTTTGGTCATTACGTGCAATTCAAACCTTTGAAAAAATAGGGCGTCTATTCAAACACGTGTATCTACTAAAGTAGAACGTTTAAATCAATAAGAAATATGGTTGGATTAAAATTAAAATCGATTAATTTCTTGGTAACAGTTTGGATATGAAAATAAAGTTATCAGGTATGAACTTTCGAGAAGACCTCAACGAGATGTAGGGAGGGGTTGAAAAGTAATTCCTTATTTTATGTATGATGAAGTGTCCCGTCTTGTAAAAATTATAGTTAGGTGGGAGAGTCCATCATACATAAAATAGGGAGTTATTTTCCAATCACCTTGTATATTCTTTAAGAATAATAATTGAACCTTGCTGGGATGTGAAGCTCTCCAGGGTTTAGCAGTGTAAATATTGTGGATTCCGAGATGAAATTCAGTCTCTAATGAATGACAAACGCAGGAATGAAATATAGCAAATAAATGTATTTACACAATAATACAATTTGTAATACGGTTAGTAGATCCAGAAACACGGTTAGTAGCAATTATAATATATATATATACATATATATATATATATATATATATATATATATATATATATATAGTCTGGTAAATTCAGTCTCGAAGTAGGACTTCCTTAGAGTCTACGTGCTTGTAACTCTACAAGCGGTTACCTCACACTATTACTCTACCTCCACCTCACTCACAATCTCTGCTCTCTCTACTCTGACTCACTCTGGGTAGTTAACGGCAGCAGTCCACGTATACACTGGTCGAGTCCACTTGTATGAAAAAGGGGTGGATCCCATAGTAAAGCAGACCGGATTAGAAGGAGGCTTTCCCTACAAGGAGGAACGCAGGTCAAGACCCTGACGGAAAGTACATTTTCCTTTTTATGTATCTCGAATGCACAAGCCTGGATATGTAATGCATACTGTTAAATAAAACAGGGAAAGTACTCAAACATGCTACACCAAATTTAAATCCTCAAATCTAATTGCCCGAAATAATATCCCCCCACCCAAACCGTTCCTCAATAAAAACCACTGTAGTATATAGGTTTACATGTCCGTTTCGAGAGTTTTTCTCACATAATAACCCCAGCACGTACATCGGACTCACAACCACAACTCTCTCACGTCGGCTTACATACAATCTTAATGACACCAGCGCCATAAAAATAACACCTTATAACAACTCGCAGTACCATTAGTAACAGGTTCAAATCTTCCGGACTAAGAAAAATCCTGATCAGCAATACCAAAAACAAATGCAAAAATACGCTTACAAATTCTTGAAGCCATCATAACTATAAATATGTAACTTTTGAGTTGAGTAGTCACGTATCTATGTGACCACGAAACGTCGAAGTCCCCATGACGGAAATACTGCTCAGTTAAATGAAAGAAACCTTTTCATATTAATTCTATTAACGCGCTATCTCCGTCTTCGATAATGTGCACTCTAGCACAAAGCCTGCTCGCCTTAAATGCCTTCCTATCAGCAAACCACTGAAAAATCAGCAAATTTGCTTTCAAAAACAGTCTCTCAAACAAACACTATAACACGGGACGATGGAAAAGTTCTCTCGCTCACCTTTCTTTTTCCTTAAACGTTCTTTTGTCGAAAAATGATACTTTTTCTTAAATTTTGTGGGGTAAAGCAATATTTAGTCTTCATTTTTTTTTTATCTAGGGAAAATGAGTAGCGAGCGTTTCATAATACATAAATGAATATTTTGATAATGACTCAGGTTGGGAATCTCTTCTGATGTTTGAAGAAATTAAACGTGGGCAAGAATGAAATATAAGAGTTAAATATGATATTATAATATGGAAATCACTTAAATTGGAGGTCATTTTGGAAGAATATACACGTCAGGTCCCCCTACGAGCTCTACTGCTAGCATGTATACCAGTATTGCCTGCTGTATACTCGGGTTATAGGCCACTAACCTCGTTCTCTCAGCGGGATTTTCTTACAAGGAGATTGGATCGATAGCAAGCAGGATGGAATGAAAGCCTGGCAAAGGTCGAATGAACTATGCTGAAGGGCCAGCGGTCATCTCGTAGGTTAGAATAGACTCTCTTGTTATCTATTCAACCATTAAATGAAAAAAAATCACATAATAAAAGCCTGTGTGAAGGCCAGGATTAGAACAATAGAGATTCCCCAGAAATCCAAAATAAATATTCATGAACGTTCTCAAATATAAAAATTTAAAAAAAACAATAACATTTTT